TCTCTCCTCTGTAATCTACTGGTTCTGTTTCTCTGGAGCATCCTGACTGATGTGCTATCCTTTAATCCAGCAACCCTACTTTCTCACTTGTGGGAACCCTTGCACACAAGGGAATGACCCATGTACAATTTATTTCATCACAGCACTGTTTGTAACAGAAAGAATGAAGGCAACCTGCGTGTCCATCAGTAAAGGGCTGGTTAAGGAGTCGTGTTAAGCCACGGAGTGGAGCACTGTGGAGCCATCAAAGAGTATGAGGCAGTGATACAGAATGGTTTCCAAAACCGAATGAAGAGAAAAAAGAAAAATACCACACGATGAGGAACGGTGTGCATACCATATATGCTCTTGTGTGTGTAAAAGGCGGGGGGGATATTTCGGTGTTTGTAAACATATAAAATATCTTTAGTGGGCACCCCAGAAACTACCACTGAATGCCTCCAGGGCAGGGCAGTGGTGGCTGGGGAACAGAACAGGAGGGAGACATTCCACAGGCCCTTTGTTTCACAAAACAAAACCCCTCATGTCTGATCGTATCACTCCCCAACAAGGACAGGAATGATCCTGTAGGCGGAGTCTCCATTTTTCATCCTGATTTATAAGGTCCTTTACCACCCTACCTCTGCCTCTATCCCGTCCCTGCCCCTGACCCCCACCCCCATGGCTCCCTATTCTCTGCATTCTCCATACCAGTCCCATATTTACTCATCTCCATTCCTTAAACTCACATGCTCTCTCTTGCCTCAAACTGGGAATGCCCCTGAGGCTCTCTCCACAGTTCCTGTCCTTTGTCCTTCTGGTATTGTTCCCTTTCTTCCTAGGGACCTTGATGGCATGGCTGGTGTTTGATGTTCCTCTGTGGTGAGCTTGGCTTCCTCAGGGAACCCAAGGATGAGCACAGAGCTCTGCCCACTGGCTTCCTTTGGGCTCTGGACCTGTACAGCCGTCCTTATTCTCCCTCTTGCCCTTTTGGGGACCCCTGGTCCCTGGGCTCATATCATTCAGGCTAAGAGAATCACAAGACCCCCCCAGAGGGCCTGCTGGGGCATCTCTGTTTTTCTCAGGTGGGTATAGGGAAGAGGCCTCACTGTAATTGAACTTCACCTACCTGTTCCAGAAAGAACTTGGCACTTGTGTCTTGCAAGGTATCCTCTGTCTTCAGATAGCCAGCTGGTTAGCACTGAGTCTTCAGGAAGTCCTGTTGTAGGAGGAAGACAGCAAACCTAGGGCCTGCTGTCATGACACGAACACTTTAGAGGCACACCTGGATAAACACAGTGAACTGGGGGTGAACGAGGGCTTAGATTCTGTGTCTTAGGAGAGGACAGTGGAGTAGGTTAGTAGATGAAGCAGCCTGGACCCCAGAGCCCAGGGATGGGAGAAGACCTGTAGGATGTATGCTCTCTGTCCATGGGTTGGATATATGCATTTGGTGATGGATGGCGGAAATGATTTGTCATGTATACATTTTATTTCTCTCATTCACAATTTGCTGACTCTGTATGTACTCCAGTTTGGAATAAAGTGGTGAGGTCTGATTGGACAGATTGGATTTTGGGGTTTGGTTGTTTCATCGGACTTCACTCTGGAGCCTGTTAGAATTTTATGGCATGGAAAACTGGAACCATCTCCTAAGAATGTTGGTGCAAACAGGGACACCTAGTCGTGGGTGTGGTCCCCACAGGAAGACTTAACTGGAACCTCTCTACTGTCTCCAGATCCAGCAGCTCTGATGGGGCCATTTCACTCACCAAAGCTCTGATTTTGTTTCTCCTGGATAGGACTTAAAAAAAAAAAAAAAAAACAAACTTCAAAAAACTGTGGAACACACTATTTAAAAACATGCATTCGGAGTCAAGCATAAACACAAAGCTGTCTTTTTATAAAGTCTGAGCTTTATAAGGTTGCCAAAATGTTTCTCCGTCAGTTTTAAAAATTGAATAGAAACCACTTAAGAGTGAAAAATATTCCATGGAGGAAATTCTCAGACGTTGAATTCCCAGGTTTATATTCCAGAGAAGTCACTATCTGTGTGCAAGAGCCCTGTGAGCAAAGCTGGTCAGATGGAGCCCTTGGGCCAAGATGTTACCTGGGAGGATACTGTGAATGGCCATTGACTCCAACGGAGCTCCTCAGCAATCATTGAGATGTCATGCTTAAGTTTGCCAAAGTTCCCCAATTTCCCAGTCACCCACATTTCCTACTTCATGTACCTGTATCCTCAATGTGTAGACAGACGCACACACACAGAGGAGCTATCCTCCATTCTCAATCCATCTGGGCCAGCAGCCGAGCATGGGGAGTGAGAAGACCCATCTCGGGGTTGCTCTGGAAACAGTGTCCTATTGTTCCATTTCCAGAGACTCCAGGTTCAGGCTCTCACCTCCCACCACCAGTCCCATTACCTTCTGGATTCTCCTCTTCCTTCCCTTCCAACATGTCCCCTTTCTCAACTGGTTTGTTTTCAGCTCTTAGAAATGCATAGGGAATAAAGCCATCGCTGTTCTCGGGCCCACGTCTAGGTATTTCTCAGACCTGATGGGCACTTCTCTACTGTGTTGTGGGCGTTGTTGACCTGATATGAGGATCCATCATCTCATCCAGAGGGCAGTATCCCAGACTGATTTTGCACACTCACCCGAGAGCTTAGGGAGCCAACTCAGTGCTACTTTTTATAGCAATTTGACAGAATAATTTTGTTGACTCTAGTATGACACGGGGGCTTGTCTTAAAAAAAGGCTTATTGTATTTTACAAAAGAATTGGGCTATGTGGATTCAAAATAAATAGCCACCACTACAAGTGTAATTCATAGATGGTTTGAAAAGCAGAGTGAGCTAAGGCATCCTAGAGCTGCTGTTGACGATCCAGAGGCTGAAGTGCTCAGAGAAGGGGTGGTTTTCAAGTATTGGGATGTGTGGCTGGAAAACAGAACAGAAGTGCCTGTGGAAGGCTGGGGAGTGATGTCAGTGAGATAGCGCTTGAGTGCGATGTGCCGGCATTGCCCCCAGGGCCCGGGGCAACGGGTGACCTACAGGCTGCCACGCTCTGCTTCCCGGTGGGCCGGGTCCATGCTGACCCTCCACGTCTTTGTAGAGAAGGATCAGGTTCTAGTTATGGGTGACATTTTTGCTGTCCTCAAGCCCTCCTCTCAACTTCCGCAAGTCTTGGGCTGATAGGGAGTCAGGGCCGTGGCTAGATGTAGTAACTGTTCAAGGGACCAAGCTAAGGTGCTGTCACAGGAGTTTGGATTCTCCTTGTATTGCCCCGTTGGCAGTCTCCTCATTCGCATAGAGAGCGTGAGTTGATAGTGCCCACCTGCTGCTTCTGGATTGCTCGCACAAGCCCACGGCAGCCTCCTCCCACCCAGTATGCTAGAGAGGTGTTACTCATCCCCCTTTAATAATGGAATTAAAGCTCTTCTGTGGGGAGTACTGTTAGGGGAAGTCCTAAATGCTTTGTTATATGAATAACCTCTCCAGGATCGAACGTTCCATTACTCAGGTCAGTGGCAAAGAGCTGCAGCTTTGCTGACAAAAATCACTAACCAACTCCTTTCAGGCACCGTGCTGAGCCCTGTTTCTCTTCATCTTGTATATACCTTTCACATTTACCCTCAATTCACACATTGCAAAAGTGAGGCTCGATTTTTCTCTTGCACATTATCCCCCTCCCTTTAGAATACTCTGGTCATACACTGAGCTACAGCTCATTTGAGTTATGAGAATTTAACTTTAGGCAGAATTTCATTTAATAGGGGCGCCTGGGTGGCTCAGTCATTAAGAGTCTGCCTTCGGCTCAGGTCATGATCCCAAGTTCCTGGGATCGAGCCCCACATCCGGCTCCAGCCCCGAATTGGGCTCCCTGCTCAGTGGGAAGCCTACTTCTCCCTCTCCCGCTCCCCCTGCTTGTGTTCCCTCTCTCGCTGTGTCTCTCTCCGTCAAACAAATAAAATCTTAAAAAAAAAAAATTTCATTTAATATCTCAGCTTATGAGGCATTTCTACATGTTTCCAGGGACTGTTTTTTTTTTTTTTTAAAGATTTTATTTATTTATTTGACAGAGAGAGACACAGCAAGAGAGGGAACACAAGTAGGGGGAGTGGGAGAGGGAGAAGCAGGCTTCCCGCGGAGCAGGGAGCCCGATGCGGGGCTCGATCCCAGGACCCTGGGATCATGACCTGAGCCGAAGGCAGATGCTCAACCGACTGAGCCACCCAGGCGCCCCTCCAGGGACTGTTTTGGATTTTGCTTGTCACTTGAGCAGCTTGAGCCTGGTGAAAAGGGAGTCATTGTGTGGTCATTCTTACAATGTTCAAGCTGTGGTTGCCTCAGAGAAGTCTTGGACTGCGATAACTTCTATATCCTATGTTTTCTTTTGTCTTTACCTTCTTCTTTTTTGGATTATTGGTTTAATTATATAAACCTTGAGTATCATAGGCCAAAAAACAAACCAAACGAAGGCTCAGAGAGGTTAACTTGTTGCATATCACACACCCAGAGATTTCAAACCCACATTAATCTCTTCAACCATATGCTTGACATTATTTATATCAAATATCATACTGGAATCAGAGGTATTATAATGAGATTCAAACCATATGTAGTTAAAACCCCAAGGCTCCAAGGAGGCTGTTATTTCTTTATGCCATGGTTAAGGGGTGAAATAGGATTTCAAAAGCATTGAGGATGGAGAGGAAGCTATAAACAATATCATCTACAAGGACAGAATTTGTATTTAAAAACATGCCTTCAAGTCAGGTGATGCATTTATTGACTATTTGGAGCACATATCAAGCTGCATAAATTTTTATACCTCTCCCCCTACTCTTTTGTTAAAAAAAAAAGTGAATCATAGTTGAAGACACAGTTTGCATAGATAGGTCAGGTGGTAATAGTTTACAGGGATATCATGCTCATTCTTCCTTGCTGGCTTATTTCTAAGATTCAGTTCTTGTTTTCTAAGCAATCATATCGACAAAAAGGAAAAAAGACACACACACCAGTGTTACAAAACCTTGTATTAATCATTTCCCTTCACTTTCAATATAACGTTGATATGAAATATAGCCATGATTCTTAGTTACATGGGAGGAAATGAGTAATAAATACATTGTAGCAAGTTTAAACCACAAGGGTGTTTCACTGGTAACAACATTTGAAAACTGTACACTTGCAAAGAACAGCATCTTCAAACATTAGTATATCTGTATATCAGTAAAGCTTTACATGTAACAAACATGCTATTTCCATATATGACAAATTTTAAAAATATGCATTGCTTGGCAACATGAACTAGGCAAAAATAGTTCTTTGTTCACTAACTTTATACAGGAAAACAGGACGAGAGGCATGCATGTACAATAGGGATGCCTGCACGGGGCATGCAACAAAAGAAAGCTTTTTAAAAGTCAGCTTACATTAGGCATAAATACATGAGGGTTATATATTAATGAGGGAGGAAGTCTTCTGTTTGACATTATTAACATTCCTGTTTTCTTCCTATTCCTCCCAGAGGAATACACATTCACCTTTAAGTAAAGATAAAGGAATTACGAAAAAATAAAACTCACTTTGCAACATCTCTGATGACTTGTAAAAAAAAAAAAAAAATCAACATTAGTGTTATCACAGCCCCATGTGCAAATTATCCTTCCGCAGGTCCTTCTTGTAAGAGGCACACCCCCGAGTGCCTTGGTCAGGCTGCTTCCCTGCCCAAGCTGGAGCCGCCTGCTGCAGACATCTCCAGAGGGCCAACGAGACTGAGGCCTGCTTCTCCTCCCCTCGCTGCCCTTCTGGTTGCATGCCTATGCATTCAGCCCAGCTCAGTTCCCCCAGCCAGGCTTTTGGGGGGATCCCGGTGCTAGCCGGGGAATGCATGTCTACCAACCTTGCACCAGCAGTCGCTACAAGAGGTGCAGAAGAACACAAGACCCGGAGAAGGCTCCCATTCCGTAAAAGGCAGCCAGTGACACCTCAAAAGAAAACCTTGTTTCCCTCAGTGTCTCTTCAAAGGAATGGGAGATGGGGGCCCAGCTGTAGTTCCAATCCTGAGTACCAAAAAGGGACCATCAATACACAGGATTTGAGAGCTTGGTGCAAACAGCTGCCCTCTGCAGGCAGGCCCAGCAGCGTCTGTTTTGCTTGCTGGCCCTTGTTTTAAAAAGTGAAACTCAAAAAGCGTGTGGTAAAAGACACATATCAGCAGCAATGTTTCAATTCTTGTACACAGTTCATGTGTGTCTTCCTACTGTTTCTGGTAAGAAACCACTATGAATAAAAAGCACCAATAAAACATCATACATGGTAACAATATCATAGACCACCACTGTCCCTAGGACAGTATAGAGATGCCAAATACATACTGCTTAAATCAGAAAAAGGGGGGAAAACATGTAGTGAAATAGATTTTATTCTAAGATTTTTAATGTTTACTATTAATATAAAACAGTTGCATTTGGGGGGTCAATGGGTAAATACAAAAAAAGGCACTGCCACTTTATTACTAAATATCCGACTTCACAGCCTTATGCATGCAACTGTTTGATTCTTTTATAAATAAAGTTCTTTTGCTTTAGGATTTTAAAATTGAGCTGTATACCTGCAGTCAACACAGGACTCAAAACAAGGTGGGGACAGGCTCCTAAAATTTATCAGAACACTCAACTTAAAAACTAAAACACTAATAGCAAAACACAACTAAGTAGATAAATCTATACACAGTCGATGAAAAATAAGCTTTTCTTTTTTTTTAAAAAAAGAATTATGTTGTTATTAATAACAGACTTTATCATGGTTACCAGCCATAGCAAGTTAATAAGTAACATATCCAAAATAATATCTCTAATAATCAGATAACCATTGTTTCTATATTCAGTGAAGGAATAAATAGAAATCCAGATTTGCAAATATTTTAAGGTCTTCTTCCTTTTAAAGGATTCATGCTAATGTGATTGTGTTCACAATCTGTTTTCTGAACAACCCAAGTCTTTATGGATATATGTGTTTTGCAGCAGATCTGAATGCTTTCTCATTTCTCCACGAGATGTGTAATACCCTTGTTTTTTCTTCTTTATTAACTTTCTTAGCATCCAAAAAACACCTTCACAAACCCTCTGGTCTTACCTTTGGCCTTCAAAATTTTTGATCTAGTCTTCCTGCCTTACATGTGATCGTCCATCCCAACACATTCCCCAAATAACACTAAGCTTGTTTAGAAAAGGGGTGTGGAGGATGAATGTTAATGGCACTTAGTTTAAAAAAAAAAAAAAAATCAACTAAAAAATGCTGCCTCTTTCTGCACATGGATTTGCATGTTTAGAATGTAGTCACCCAAGGGGAGGTCTGTTTTCTTAACGTAAAATGTGATAATAGTGGGTTCAAGCCCCCTCTGCTTACTAAAAGCTCTCCACAGTTAAGATGCTCCCACCTTTTCAAACCTTAAAAAACTTCAAAAGCAAGGCTGAATTGGGTGCACATTTTTAATCTCGAAGGTAAAAGAAAGTTGTTTAGATTTCATTAAGGCCTTTTAAATCTGTGTTTACTTAACTTTTTTTTAAATAACCATAAGCAAGCGCAGTGATTTTCATGGTCTGATCTCTTCAATTTCGACTTTGACTTCGCTAAAAGCAATGGCACCAGACTCACCCATTTAATAAACAGGCCTTACACCGTCTCCCTGATCTCGCCTCTGGCTGAGCATTCATACCATCATTTACACAACCCAATTTTCCAGTGCAGAGCACAACTCCTCTTTGATTTCCTTTAATACCCTCCATTGCATCGAATCCCAAACGTAGTCTTTCTTGCCCTTAAGAAACAGAGCTATTACTTTGTGGTAGCACAGTTTGTTAATCTCCATGTCAGGGCTGGTTCTCTCTCTCTTCTGTGTGGCTGGATAGATAAATCGGCCAACGACACAGCAAATCCCCGACGTACACGTGGAGAGAACCACGTTTCCATCCTGCAGCTGCCCTTTCCCACATCTGCTTTCACAGCCCGCCTGGCCACGTGGACTGCACGTCTCCCCGCACGCTCTCTCTGCCACTTGCTCACTGACCAGTTATACACTGTCCTGGGTCTTGCTCTCCTCCTCTCCCTCAGCAGTGAGCGAGCCAGGGGGGGGTGCAGCCCCCAGGCTCAGGTTCCTGCGCACAATCGTAGTGGAAGCGGTTTTTTGAGCTCATTATCTGACGTTAAGGCCTTTTGTCGGTCCTTACCATTTTTCCTCCAGTGGAACTTGTACCCACGTGTGTGTGTGTGTGTGTGTGTGTGTGTGTGTGTGCGCGCGTATGTGTGTGTGTGAAGCGAGGCAGGGGGCGATAGGATGAAACCCCACAGTAGGGTGGGGAGGGAGAGAGGTCTCTGGGTGAGAAGCAAATCCAGCCCAGAAAGGGGCCGCAGGATTCTTCTAGAATCTCTTGGTGACTTGCGAACAGACCCTAACTGATCACACGGTGCCGTCCTCCTCGTCCCTTCCCCGCGCTTCCAGCCACATGCTCGTCCCGCCAGCCCACCTGCACGCGCCGCGCAGGCGCGGCGGCAAGATGGACGACGCCTCGGCCTACGTGACGCGTCCGCCTTCCCCGCAGGCACGCCTCGGCAGCCATTTTAAGAGACAACCCTGCTGCTATTACAAAAATAGAGGAAAAAAATGAATCCATATCAACAAATCCTTTACAAAAACCATAGTATGAAGAGAAGTTCTATCCAAACTCTTTACACATTATGTACCCTTTAAAATTGTTATGTAAACAATACACAAATCAAAGTTTCTCTGAAATTTTGTTGGAGGGAAGTTCCCCCTCTGCCGCCGGGGCCGTGCAGCTCTCTCCTGCGGCTCGACCCCAAGCCGGGTCCACAGGGAAAGCCGATCCGGGCAGCAGGGAGGGCGGGCCGCCATCTTGCTTTGGTCGCACTAGCCCACGACTGCGTCCTGGGGCCTGACTGCGGAGGCGGGCTGTGAGGGGCGCCCGGGCCCAGGGTTCGGCCTCCCTCCCGCGTCTCGCCCAGCTCTTTCACGGCGGTAGGCGGTACTCTTTTTGTTCGTTTCTCCCCCTCTCTCCATCCAAGAAGCCACTTGCATTCCCTCTCCATCCCCTCCCAGTCCCACGTTTCCCTAGAGACCCCTCCCCACCCCGCACACCAAGCCATCCCGTGACAGAAACAAATGACAAAATAACCAATCCCCGGTCTACTGATATGTTTACAAGGACGACCTACGCTCTCACAAAATCAAAATGGGAGAGGGACCAGGGAAAAAAAAAGGCTGCAAAGTATCTCCGAGGATTCTGTGCAACCCTGAAGATGGCTGACACTGGACCCGCAGCAGTCGATTTCACGGCCAGCGCGGTCACTCTCATCTTCAGCTTCTAGATGGTGGAGGTCCGGTCAACCCCGTCTGGGAGAGAAAGAATACATGATGGGCAAAGGTGAGCAAAACCGTTCCCTTCATGGCCACCTAGTCGCACACCGTGCACGTTGGGCTTCCTGGTCTCTGAAGACAGGTGAAGGCCACACTTACCCATTCATCCACTCATTCATTCACACACCCACCCACTCAACGTCTGCGGAGTAGCCATTCTTCCAGGAACTGTAACCAGTCTGGGAACCAAAACAGGAGACCTAGTCCTCGCCCTGTAAGTACACACATCCTAGTCGAGACAGATCTGTAAAGCCACAGGGATGTAGGAGTGATCATTGCTACGATGGAGTATGTACCAGGCACAGCAGGAAAAATGGGGGAAGGAAGATTTAAGTTGCCCCTGGAAGTCAAGGATAGTTTCACAGAGAGAGGAAATGACTTTTGTAAGATGGTGCTGGTAGGAGAAGAGAGGAGGAGGCAGGAAAGGAAGAGGGTGTGGGGAGGGCATACAGCTCATGTATAGGTGTGATATTGGTCATCAGATGGTGGGGCTGGGGGGCTGGATCGCGGTTTAGGATGAGGGATGGGGGGAATGGAGGAGTGGCAGGAGATGTGCTGATCGGAGGAAGGGGGTTGCTGCAACGGACATGCAGGTGGACCTGTCTAGCTCACATCCCTTTCTTTGGCAGCATCTCCCCCTCACCGAGTCCCTGCTGAAAGCTCGGGCATGAGGTGGTTGTGACTCTGAGCTGAACAGACCAGGGGGATGCAGCTGACCCAAACTGATCTAGCTTCTCTGTCTCAAGAATCTGGTTAGGGGTAGACACCACACTTAGAGGCTGTGGGCACTGAGAACTGAAAGACCCTGTGGAAGTGGGTGAATGTTGAGGCTACACAACGCAGGCTGTGTCTACATTATGGAGAGTTGGCGAGACCAGGCTATAAAGCGGAGGACGTGCAGGTCAGAGACAGAGGCCATGAGTGAGACAGACTGCCAAGGGAGCCAGTGGCTGCCCAGCTCCTTTATGGTTGCCTGCTTACACATGGGACTATAGGAGAATCCCCAGAATGAGGCCATAAGGGTCTTGTGTACTATGAACAGGAGCTTGGACTTGGTAATTGGGGCATTCTAAGCGGTAATTAGATCTGATTTTAGAATGGTTTCTCTGGCAGCTGTTAGATGACCTAAAAAAAGACAAGGCTGGTGGCAGGATGGCCCCTACAATGGCCCACGCTAGGGCTTGTCTGACAGGGGCTTATCCAGTGAGCAGAGAGAAGCATGGATGAGTCATTGTAGGAGGTAGAAATGACTGTGTTCAGTGACCAGTAAATGAAGGCCAGGGAGGGATGCAGATGCCTCCCTTGTTTTGTTGATATCCAAACATCAGCAGGTAAGTCCTGGTCTAAGCCTTGATGTCACAAACCTGGTCTACCAGGAGGAGCATCTAGATCCAGCAGGCAGAACTCAGGTTTGAGAGGGGAGGGGCAGAGTGTTCAGGGGAAGCTGGAGGACCTCAGTGATATGGAGGAGTGCTGAGTCCACTGCACAGGCCTCCCGGCCTCCTGGTGGGTGGTGCCAGTCTGGTGTCTTGCCAGCAGGGACTTGAAGGAGAAATGTTTAATTGAAATTTTTACTGAGATCAATGTAGGCTCACATGCAGTTATAAGAGACAGTCCCAGGTTTCCGGGTTTGCTGAGTTTCTCCCAGTGGTAACATTTTGCAAAACTATAATATTACCACCAGGAAACTGATGTTGACACAATTCACAGATCTTACTCAGATTTTCCCCATTTTATTTGTACTTGTGTGTGTCTATGAATTTCCATATGGTTTTTGGAGAGATTTTAAAGAAGAAAAGCAAATGACCCCGGGAGTGTTTATGGGAATCAGGCCATTAGTCGTAGAGGCCCCCAGAGGTGAGCTTATAATCAGTAATCTTTCTCTGACTTGTGCCGGTGTTAACCTGAGCCTCTTGTGGTGGCTCTGCGGTGGTTAACGGCTCATGGGAAACAGTGGGTGCGTGTAAATAGACACACACATGTGTGGGTGTGTAGAGGTCGCTCCCCTGTCTGTAGGAGTGGAGCACGCTCTTGCCAGGGCTCACTGGCCTCCTCATTAATGCCAGTGAGTAAGTGGGGAGCTAGAAACATGAAAATCTCAACTAACCCAACCCCAAGCTGCATTTTCACTGACTTCCAAGCCTATGCCTCATCCTCCAAGGGTTACAGTATTCATCTGCAGGGAGATGACCAACAGGTAAGTCCAGATTCACCATTTACAGTTGTGCAAGGTGTACAACTCCAGGGAGCACCATTTACATGTATTCATTATAGGTTTTATAGTTGTTATGACAAATGTCAAATCAATGGCAGAACAGCATCTTAAGAAAGTGGAGTCTTTTTCTAATTTGCACAAAGTCTCCGTATCAGCTAAAAGTGAGGCTGTTAAGTCCCAAGAAGGAATAAGGAAAGAAGGTGAGAAGGAACGGCAAGGGGATCATGTGAAAACATGAATCCTGGAGCATCAGAGAGTGGACTGGGCATTCCTCTTTATGGTAGAATTCACTGCAGTCTCTGTCCTGCTTGGAGGAGCCTTGCTTTTGTAGCTGTGGCTGTTCCTGCCCATATAACCCCGGTGCAGGAGGAAGACAGCAGCCAGGCTTGGTGTTGAGTCTTCCTTTATACCCGGAGCCACCAATCAGGAGCAGGCCCAACAGAGCCAGATGAAAGCCTTAAATGAAGATTCAGAAACCAAGATGGCAGAGGCAACCCACCTCCTGGGCTTCCTCATGGGTTCTGTTGGAGGGGCCAAGGGAAGGGCAAGGAAAAGACAGAAAGGGAAGGCCAAAGAGAGAAATGGCTTAGACTGGCACCAGGAGGGCTGTACTTAGTGGAGGACACTGAGAGTAGAGATGTCCGTGCAAAAGGATGGGCCGCCAAGGCTTGGGGCCCATGGACCAGCCACAGTAGAAAGACCGTCGTAGGATGTGGTGTCCCGGGAACTTGGCCACCCTCCCCTCCTGTCCTGAGACACAGGCAGAGGAACCTCTTTTACTTTGCTTTCCTCTCCCTAATTATTTGTCCTCCTGTAAAATGATTTAATTCATTGGCATTCTCTCCCCAGCAAGGTCATCTTCCCAGCACCTGGACGAGGTGGGCCAGCAGAAGGGTGCAGTCCTAATGTGGGAGGCTCACCGCCACTGTGCCCAACTGGGCCACCCTGAACTTAATTTGCATTCTCTGCTCTGGAAACTGCTTACGAGGCTTCCCACCAGAGCGTATTATTGAGGAAAAACACAGCAATAAAAAGACTTAGGAGATTAACAAGATGAAAACATTAGCAAAAAACCATCAGTTCAGAGAGGTTTTCTGTAAAAGTAGAAGAATGAGCTAAAAAATGAAGCATTTTCGATGAAAACCTCCCTTTAATAAAGAGCATTTGGCATTCTTGCTACTAATGATGATAATGTTAGCACTTAGCAGTTTGATAAGGGCTTCCAACATGCCAATTATCTGAGATATATCAAGCCCTGGGGGAGGAGGTCAGTTCTCCTTGCTGACTCTCAAAGGCCCGGGAGTTCCTCACCCACCAGCCATGGTTGGGTGGGAGGGAGCTTGGGCTGCCCGCAGTGGGCTGAGCTTGGTCTGAATTCTCAGGGTCTGGGAGGCTTCCCTTTTTGAAAAAATTGAGATATAATTTGCATACCACAAATTTCACACTTTTAAAGCGTACAATTCAGAGGTTTTCATATATTCACAGAGTTGTGCAGCCATCCCCACTATCTAATTCCAGAACATTTTCATCTGGTACCCATCAATCAGTCACTCTCCACTCAACAGTTCCCTCCGGCCCCTGACAACCACTAAACTATACCATCTGTCTCTATAGATTTGCCTATTTTGGACATTTCATAAATTCCTATGTGGAATTGTACGCCGTGTGGCCTTTTGTGTCTGGCATCTTTCATTTAGTGTAATGTTTTCAAGGTTCATCCATGTTGTAGCATGGATCAGTACTTCATTCCTTTTTAAGCTGCATGATATTCCACTGTCTGCATTTCGTTCATCCATTTCCATCTGTTGATGGACCCTTGGGTTGTTTCCCATTCCTCATCAGGGGCTATCAGTGTGCCGACCCAGTCTCCTTTGTTAGCTGGAGAAGAGGACCTGGTGGCACCTCCCCACAGAGGTGCCAGGGATGGACCAATGATGCTGTGAAGCTTCTAGGATATGAGTGGCCAAGGGAGAGAGCAGTGTTTGCAGATGGGGTTCCTGGAACCCATTAGGAGCTGTGCCTTCCCACCATCCTTTCAGTCAGCAGCCCTGGGAGGCCTTGAGCTAGCTCCCTTCTGGTACTGAGTGGAGCCTGCCTTTGGGCTGTGGAGAACCCTGCCCAGCTGAGGTCAGGTAGGTACAGTCCTTGCTTTCCAATCTGCTCCAAGCAGAGCATTTACTTGTCTCATATTTGGTGTTAGGATAAGACTGTGTTTGCAGGGACTAAAAATCTAAAAGTCCCTGGTAGGGAGGACCAAGCTCTCCGGAGGAGCAACTGTCAGCAGCCTTTCTCGCCCCCATGGCCAGAGAGCGCACATTTTGGCTCTAGGTGTTCCGACCGCCCATCTCCAGGGTGGGTGAGCACATCCCGCCTGGAGAGGACTGGTGGGAAGGGTCACAGGAGGCCTCTCTGACTCAGAGCCTCCCGGAAGTTGGCAGGAAGGGGTGACCATTTCTCCTCTGCCTGCCAAACATCCCCAGGGCTGGTGCGGAGTCCGGGCTGGAGAAAAGCACTTGGTTAGTACCCGGAGGGCACTGCAGGCCTCCTGGGGCTCTGGTGATGATGTAGGGCTTCAGACCAAACTGACAGTGGGACCACCCAGCTGCTTCTGGCGCTCCTTGTGGGGCTGCCGCCCATAGGCACATCAAACTAGACCATCCCTGTCACACCGGGAGGGACATCTCAGACTGCTTGGGGCTCCAGGCATCGTGGAAGCCATTTGGAACAGGGAGATACAAAAACAAGCAGGGATTTTTGTTTCAAAAATTCTATTTTTAGAACAAGCTGGGATATGCTTGGAGCAGACTGGGAGCTCTAGTGCCGAGAAGGAAAGGATCCAATTCTGTGGGGGGGATGTTGCCACTAAAAGCCATGTCTTGTGTTTCTGACTCCTCCAGCTCCCAGCATTTGGCTGGCACAGCTGCTGCAGTAGGACCTCAGTGTGCACTGGGTGGGTGGCTCTGAGGAAAAAGGGACAGCCTTGGTCTCCAGGTCCCTGACTCACCTCCCAGAAAAGGAGGAGCAGGGCGTCGTGGGCTACTCGGCGTGGTACGGCTTGATGGGGATCCCACAGCAGCCTGAAGCCATTCTCTCGCTCTGTCCCCTGCCCACCTCTCATTGTGCCTTTCCCATTCCTCCTGAGCTACTGCAGAGTGCAGACAGCAGATGGCTGCTAGTTCTCCCAGGCATGTGGTAAAATGCAGGAGGACCCACTCACCTCCCAGGGCGTGCTCGGTCATACTGAGGCACAAGGACTCCAGCCTGTTGTTGATGTCCGGTTCAGTCACAGGAAGCTGGAATTCTGCAAGGGACAAAGGGTTATGTTGGTGACAGAGACTCTGAGAACAAGGAGAAGGTGTGCACGGTGCTGTGGGGCTCCACCCGCTCCACCCCGGGAGGACTCACGGGACTGTGAGGATCCTCACGGAGGTAAGTTACACTCTGGTTTCAACCAACCTATGAGTCTGTTAGACGCACAGAGTCCATTGTGAACATTGGCGGCTGGAAGAAAACTCGTAACTAAAAATAGCTGGTCATAGAGTCTGTCAGGCCTCTGCTCAGAACCCTCCAGCGGCTTCCCATCTGAATAGCAGCCAACCCCCTGCCATGGCCTGCAAGGCGCACGTGATCTGGCCCTTATTAACCCTTGCCTGTGTACAGCTCTCACCGCCCCTCGTTCCATCCCAGGCCCTCTTCTACTCCAGGGTTTTTGCACTGCTGTTCCCTCTGCCCAGAATGGTGGTCCTTGGATGTTTCCATGACTTTCTCTCTCCCTGCCTTCACGTCTCTGGCTCTACTGTCTCTTTAGAAAGGACATCAGAGATGAGCAGAAATTTCCCAGCCCTATCCCTTTCCTCTGCTTTATATTTCTCCACAGCTGTCATCAACATCTGGCACATTCTTTATTTGCTGCCTGCCCCCAGTTCCATGTTCACTTCATTGGAGCAAGACTTGGCTCTGCTGCTCCCTGGGCCTGGAAGCGGGCTTGGCGCATTTCTGCTTTGTTACAAGGAAACGGAAACCACAGTATTGGTGAGCACCTCTTCTGAGCCCACGACTGTGCCAAGTGCCCAGTTCTTGAGCGGGACTCAGAGTGACTGGCCAGGTTGGCTGGCTAACACAAGAACCCATGGGGGTCTGACTCCAGAGCTGGTACTCTCCTGCATGCTGTAGCGACTATAAGCGCCAGTCAGTGCTCGCAGCCTCCAGCCACTTAGAAGGTCTGAGATGTCTGCTGGGCGGGTTCTCACTGCCTGGGACCATGCTGTGTGCATTCTAACCACAAAGCCCCCTCTACCATCTGGACCCTCCCTATCTCTCCAGGCTCCAGTTCCTCCTCCCCCCGAGTGGGAAGCAGCCCGAAGGAGCCTCCTCCTCTCTTCTCCTGGGGCCCTCACTGTCAGTACCTCCCCCATCCCTCATCCTGGGAAGCTCTTGAGGGTCTTTCACTGGCTTGGAAGCGCCTTGCAGACAGCAACAGTGCTTTTATCTCTTTCTGAATCTCCCATAATACCCAGCCACGGTCTGCTGGCACACTTCACACATGTCTATTGAGTGAGGAAAAAGTGGAAGCTCTGACAGCTTAGAATTGTGAAATCCTACGATGGGGGTTGGGGGGCAGACAAAAATCAGCAGTGGGATATGTTCTGAGGGCCTGGGAATCTCAACATTGCCACTGTCTTCATATGCGACTCTGGGAAACTTCTCTTCTTTGTTGGGCCTTAGCTCTTCAGTCTGTAAGTGGGGAAAGGATCCTGTGGCCCAAGCTTCAGGCCATTTCCTTGCTCCTTTAAATCTCCACCAGGGGGCACTTGGGGCTGGTGGGCGGGATGACAAATGAGGTTAGGGGTTGGTGGTTTAGTGGGATAGGAAGTTGAAACCAATGGCTAAACCAAAGTATTTGTTTTCCTTGATGAGCTATACATTTAGGTTTTCTCTGCAATCTGTGTTCCCCATTATCGGCTAATTCAGAGGCAGACGTCATTTCTGTTGTTTAAAATTCTGAGTAGATGGGCAAAATGGATCAATACGAAAAGCACTGGGGAGCAGATAGGGTTCTTTCTGACACAAATTCCAGCGTCAATGGGTTTGAAGAGCAACTGGTGCCAATTCATGAACAAAGGACGACTGGGCTTTCTGGCGGCCAGGAGCCAGGGAGAATGGAAGGGTCTCTCCCACCCCCACCCATTGTTGCTCTCAGAGTAGGGTCGGGGCAATTAGACAATCCAGAGGAAAGAGTATTTTAGTATTTTCATCCATTCATGTGAAAATCATATGCATGCAAAATTAGCAGCCTTCAGGGTGTGAAATCTATAAAATAGAAACACAGTTTTATATATAGCCAGTTAGCAAATATGAAAAAAAAAAACCCTCAGCAATTATAACCATCCATATGCTCATTGTAAAATTTAGTTTACTCTCTAGCACTCCCCTTTAAACAAACACTGTGGAAAGATTTGGATAAATAAAGATGCTCGACATTTGGAGAGAAGTGTTTCAGCTGCAGGGTTTCTTGCCAACACGCAGCAAAATGCCATTTTCCAAGCCTAGGACTGCGTGTTCAAAAAAGGGGGCTGAGAAATGCGGGGCTCTCCGCTCTAGAATCTCCAAACCTTAGTGGCTGCTCTTTTAGGTTGAAAGTTGGCATGGTTGCTTTTTCTCCCTCAGCTCTTCCCTCTGGTGTGCTAGGGTGTCACGACCCCCACCACTCGCAGAGTGGCTCCGAAAAATTCTAAGTCTTGGGAGAAGCCCATATGTTCACACTCCAGAGTTTCCTAATAGTGTGACTTTTTAATTGTGTATTTGATAAAAACAGATCCGTGGCATCTCCCCACACATACAAGACAGAGGGAGACCAGCTGGGTGGATAACAGCTTCCATCTCAGGCTAGAAGCCCTCAGCCACGTGTGGCTTGGGTGGGCAGAACTCTCAAACCCCAGAGAAGCAGCTCTGGGCAGCTCCCGCCACCCAGGCGCACACGACCCACCAGGCCAGTTCTTGCCAGTTCTTACCGCAAGGGCTCATTGCATTTAGCCTGGGCCCCCAGCTGTGACGGGCCAGGTAGACATAGTTTTATGTTGTCAGTAAGGCAAAAAGGAAAGACTGAGCCTTCTCTGCCATTGCCTGAAGCAGGCCTGTTTCCTTAACCCAGATGACATCTCTGAGAACCAGGAATTTTTCCCCTGACCATCAGACCATTCCAGTATTTAGTGAGGGTCCTCAGTCCTAGGATGCCCAGGGTCTAGGCTGACCTGGATCTTTTTAACTGTGCCTTTTCAGAAGTCCCACAAGTAGAGAGCCTCATGTTCAGGCACAGGGTCAAGAAGATTCTAGAAGAGGGCAGCTTCCCATTCCTAATGAAGTGTTTTTGTAGGGTCCACCCGGGGGGGGGCATGTGGCTTTTTCTTGGCAGGAACCAGTCATCCCAGCTGAGTCTCACACGTGTGGCACCTATGGCAGAATTCTGTAGCTCTCGCCCAGTCCCTGGGGCCGAGGTGAAGAGGCCAGCATCTTTAGTACTTTAGAATGAAAAATGGGGTATTCTAGGAAAAACCTCTAGAATTCTACTTTGCCAATAACAGCCAAAGCTACTTGTTGAATAACAAGGAAGGCTTCAAGTTAAGTGAGAAGTGGGGCTGCCGGGAGGAGAGAAATCAGGAAAGAGGCTGAGGAGGACAGGACAGAGGATGGAGAAGTGGGATCCAGACTGGGTAAGGGGTGTAAGGAAGAAAGGGAGGCAGGGAAGATGGGAGCCAAGCAGGACGGGGGAGGGTAGTAACAGAAGGAAAAGAAATCAGTGTGGGCAGGGAAAGAGAGCCATACTGATAACTGCAGAGACGGTCATGGCGGTCATGGCGAGTGACAGAGGGACACGAGTAATCAGTCGTACCCCTGAGTCTGCTGTGGGAACACAGCTTTTCTCTGGTGGCCTTGTTCCTAAACCTGAAGACGTTTGTACTGTGGAATCCTCTGGGACCCACAATTTCATGAAAAGTGAGGAGAATATGGTATAAGACAATATTGTACCACCTAGGTCTCTAGACCTACAAGTACCATCTAGACCTAGGTTGGTCTCTCTCAATTTGACTTTCAGAGACAGGGGAGTACAGGCCCAGCTGGGTTCTCAGCTGTGATACAGTTGATTCATTCACCAACCTCCCTACCTATTATCTGCCAGTCCTGAGCAGGATTGTTTGCCTTGGCCCACCAGAAGGCAGAGAGCAAATGTGCATTAGGTACTTTAAGAGGGTCCTTGTTCTGGTCTCTTCCTCTGCACAGCAGCCCCTTCCATTCCCCTAACGGACCCATTGTATGGATGGTACTCTCCCTCTCCCCACTCTTTTGAAAGGCAGTTCTCTGGAAGGAATCTGAAACTCACACTAAGGAGGCAATGAATGATAACAGCTTGGGACACTATGCTCCCAGGTATGCAGCATTCTGATGGCAGAAGAAATACAGTCATGAGCTGGTGCACAGGGGAGGTTTGCTATGGTGAACAGATACATGGCCCTTTCCTGTCAGGCCCTCCAGGTGGTGAGGAGCCTCTGTGGCCTCTCAGTGTTACACCAGGGCTGTTTTGAGATCCTGTCTGACTGGATCCCACTGGTGGCTGAGCCTGGGTCAGCAGGAACTGATCTGCTTCCAAGATAAGGCAGTCCTTCTACAAGCGATTTCCAAACTAATTTTCTAGTTGGGAAGACACCTGCCTTTGGGGGAACGTGACCACACCAGGCACCACACTTGTTTTGAGCTCAAGTCATTCCACTGGTGAGTGTATCAGACCCTCTCCGCCTTGCTCTGGGAGGACCAGCTTAGTGTTTCTTACTCATGCCAGAGGCCAGTGAGACGCAGCAATCACTTAGTGTCTCTCCTGGTTTGTCCTGGGAAATATCTAAAATCTGTTCCTGTGGGAATAATTTAAAAAACCACCCCTGACATGGCCTCCAAGGGGCCCACAAATCCTGTAGATCCAGGAAAGAAGAGATCGTCTTGCAAATTCAAGCCAGGTGACTGATCAACTGATATACAACTTGGGGGCTTTTTTCTAGCCCCTGGACTTTTTTTTTTTTTT